GAAATATTGAAGTTTCAAGCATTTCTTAAATTTACCGTTATATGAGAATCGGCCGTTATTTTAGTTCGATTTCAATAATTTTCAACGTTTTGCTTACACGTGGCAAGCACAATAACCATACCGAGTTTGGTACAAATTGGTAGAACGGTTACCGATATACTTATATGTGATCATAAGTGGGCGGTGCCACGCCCATTTTCCAAAATTTTACCATAAACGTATTTCTTGGTAAAGAATTATTACAAGCATCAATTTTGAATAAATTAGCTTCAATATTTAATTATTTATCGAAGATTTTGTATTTCTCTAAATTACCGTTATATGGGATGTGGGCGTGGTTATTGTCCGATTTTAAAAAGTTTCGGCGGTTTTTTATGCTGTACCAAGGCCAACAACTGTGCCAAGTTTGGAAGAAATTGGTGCAGCGGTTACCAAGATATACACATGTAACCATAAGTAGGCGTGGCTACGCCCATTTTCCAAAAATTTATAATATTCTTATTTTTCGTCTAAAACTTATTGTAAATATCAATTTTGAGTGAATTATCTTCAGTAGTTACTAAAATATCGCAGTTTTCGTATTTCTGGAAATTACCGTTATATGGGAAGTGGGCGTGGTTAAAGTCCGATTTCGCCCATTTTCAATACCAACCTACCTTGGATTAAGGGAAACCTACATACCAAATTTCATTGAGATATCTAAATTTTTGCTCGAGTTATCGTTTACACGGACAGACGGACAGACGGACAGACGGACGGACAGACAGACATGGCTTAATCGATTTATTTTTTCATCCTGATCATTTATGTATACATTTGTCTATATCTATCTCGATTCGTTTTGGCTGTTACAAACAACCGTTATGTGAACAAAATTAATATACCCTTGTGCACAAGTGCGCTCGGGTATAATAAAAAAAGATTTTCCGTACGTTTGAAAGGCAGTTAAAAAATGCGTATAATTTTCGTCACGAAATTGATATCATAAATTTTGTGTTTCTAGTTCGGCTTTCGTCACTCGAAAATTTTACCTCAAAGAGGTGTTTTATTTGATATCAATTATTTTGGGGTAGCAAATTTAAAATCGACGAAAATACAAACAATAAACTAAATGTTTTATTTTTCTCAAATAAATTGCTAAACATATTCTCTAAGTCTAAATTATGTATTCAAATCGATGTGTCCATTGAAACACATAGTTTTTCGAATACGGAATAAAGCGAAAAAGGATGATCAAGGATATGATGATATGTATTCGAAAAAATAAAAAATAAAAAAAATATGAGAAATGATAAAAACTTATCAACTTGGTACCAACTTTGGATACAATAAACAACTGTATTCGTCTGATTGCCTTAGTTTAATTGTTGTTAAGATTTCTACTGGGTGTGGGGCGCACACTTGTGCTTTTTTTTAAGAAATTTTACTTCTATCACGTGTACGGTGTTGCACTCGTGCTATTAAACTAATGATTTTTTCTCAAGTAGTTTTGCTCAGTGGCAATTTATACATATGTATGTAGTAGTAGCCGCACATTGGGTGAACTAAATGCATTCATACATACATATTTATGTACAACTATAGGTAAATACCAGGTAGGTTAAGTGCGGGTGATAAACCCATGTAGCATAGTTAAATACTGTGTACATACCTGCAATTAAAATGGGGAAGAATGTTACAATTTCGGCATGTGACTGAAAAAAACTCTAAAATACACACAAATTGTGGTTTCCAAGACATGTACGAAGTGACTAGCACAGCTGCATCCTTCAACTTGTCAACTCGCGGGAAATTTCTCGATTTGCAGGGAATTTCGGTTTAAGTGGCAATCGGGGAATGAGCGATTTTTTTGGGGGACTGGGTATGTTGTTTTTATATCTTAAAGTAACCAAATTATACGGATATGTTAATTTTTAACCATTTGACCATTTTTGGAGCGACATTTTTTCAATTTGAATACCAATATCTCCACAACAAGAGTTTTCCCAGATATAAGCTATATACCAGATGAAAGCTAAGGTTTTGCGCTAGACTTATGGAAACCTAGAATAAAATCGACTGACCAGTTTTTGAGAAAGTGCCCGAAATCTCTATTTTCAGCAGCCCGATTTTTAGTTTTCAGGCGATAACGTTATGGCGTATTTATATTTTATAAACACAAAAGATAGCGTTAGATAGCTTGTTTGAAGACCCTTCTACTGATATCCACATCAATGACATGGACTGGGTAGTGCGGCCCCAGTGGTAGTTTAAAAAATTGCCTTTTTTCGAATTTCAGGCAGCAGCCACGCCCACACAGGCATACGAATCAAAACATCCTGGAACAAAACCTTCTTAGTTTTTTGTGTACTTTAATTCCCGAAAGTTTGAAAAAAATTAAATGATGGTACGTACAGACGCCACATACATACCAAAGCATCTCGTAGTGGAGACACGAACCAAAACACATTTATCTCTATATCTTTCCAATTAGTGGCCGGAACTTAATATATAAGGTATCGTTTGAAAGGTATTCGCCTATAGAATAACACTAAATATGTTGGGTGTTTCCACATGCCCCCTTAAACCGGCAAAAGCAAAAAAACGTTTTTTGTTTCGCAACACTTTAGCCTAATTTTTAAGAATCCGATTAATCGTTTAAGAAGCTTGAATATATTTGAACTCTGCAAGACCTTTCCAACGATATATCAAACATGTCGATTGGACGTTTGGATAAAAACTTCCAAATCTCGTGTATATATAAGCGAGTCATTTCAGCGTGCTACTGTGGATGCTTTCGTCACTCGCGCGCACTGCTGTGCGCTGTGATATCATTTCGCGCAGCCCTTAAGATTATCGTTAATCTCAATGTTATCTGTTTTCAATAAAATTTGAATTATTCTCTTGATAATTGCACTGGCCTATAGTAAAAAAAAATTTAAAGGACAGCATTAATATTGCTAGCGTGCATCGCTGGTTCCAAATATTCTAATCTTTTTTTAATATTAGCTATAGTTTACGGATTTTTGAAAATTTAGGAACAATTTCGGTAGCTCTAATAGAAAAGCCATTATTTTCCATCATCGTGGAAAAATCTTGTTTATGCAAATGAGTATGGAAACACTGAACAGGCACAACTTCTAGAAACACTAATTAGTTTACTTATGTTTACGCATACAATATAAAAATTGTAAATATAGGGAAATGACAACACATTTTGTTAAAAATTTTTTTATTTTAAAATAATTTGTTTATAATCTGAACGATTTTCATCATACTATTATCATAAATCAGTAACAGTAAGTCTCGTCTTCAACTTGGTAATTATTACGCACCGATCGAGGAATATTTACCAAAGTTATATCGAAAAATTTAAGTGGATCTCCAGTTTTTTTCTAAAAAACATTCTCTTCAATTATATAGATAACTTTTAAATGAAAGAACCGGATTACAGAAAAGTGTGTGTGTTGGAGTGACTTTTTTCGTTTAAGCTGAGTGCAAATCAATATCGTCCAATTGGAGAGTCCTCAAAAGGATATCCCAGGATATGTTAAAGACTATTGCATTTACTAGTCACTTTTTCACATAGTGGAATTTACTAAAATATTTATGTATATCTAAACACTTATTGCACGTTTCTTACTTTCATATAACGGAAAATTTAGAAACCGCGAAAAATGTGCTTCTTCGGTGACTAATGAAACCATTCCGCACCAATTTTAAAGACTGCATAAATGGACTTAAAATGGGCGTTTCTCACCCTAATAGTAATATGTTAATGTATGTAAATACTTATATGCTTGAAACTACTATTAACTTATCAAACGATTCCTAATCTTTGACAATACATGTTTGACTTCATTCACCACGATCTTGAAAACTGACCAAATCGGCGTGACCAAGTCCATGGTCCTTTTAATATTATATAAACGTCAGAAAACATTAAAACGTTTGAAATAAATCTCGTCTAACTTTCTTTGCTTGCTGAAGTAATGAAGAATTGAAAATTCATAAGGGAAAATTATAGTTTTTGTAAGTTTTACCTTAATATCTTAAAAACTTGTAGACTTATTGAAAAATGATAAATGCTCGTGAGGTACTAAATTTAATAACCCTTAATTTGATATATCGTCCTGTTTATAATAATTAACGCATTCCATACATATTACAAGTCAAAGTTTCATTTTCAAAATTCATACACTTTGATTCAATTGCGCGGGCTAAAGATCAGTTTTAAATTAATTTCTCGTGGCCAGTAACAATTGGCTTAGACCTAAGACATCATAATATTACTATTACAACACGGTCAAATGCCTTTTATTTTTCCCCATACAAAATCGACACAGCCTAATATATATTTCATGATCCAATGATCGGATCTAAACCAGATTAGTATGGGACCACCTCTGAGACACTACCTTTGCGAGGAAAAAAGAATTATCGAAATCGGTTGACGTGGTCCAAAGCTATGCATAACAAACTTAACAATAAAAAATATTCCGACGAACTGATAACCTCCTCCTTTTTTGGAAGTCGGTTAAAAAAGAATAACAATTTACTTACATATAACGTAAAAATTTGGGTTTACATATGTATATGGATATACATATGTATGTACATTCAAATGCACACGATGAAAAATGTTACATAAATATAGTTTAATACATATGTACATATTTGTATAGTACAAGTAAGTGAATACGTACGGAGCTTTTGTTTTGCGAGATTCTACTGGTTAAATCTAAACGGGAATTTATGTAGAATATCGTTTTGAAACAATAACTATTTCATGGAATATTACTATAAACTTTTTTGCATTATAAAATATTCGCAAAAGACACGTATAAAATTGTCTGGCAACTACGTAAGTTCATCATATGAAGATTCTCACACATACATACAAACTTCAAAACCTCAAGCCCTTAATGATCATTAGATAGCTGCTTCAACAATACTGCTGATCTTCGTGAAGGCCTTCGACGAGCATCATGCTATAAGTGGAAAATGTAAGCACGGTGCACATTAGCGCTATACGATATGCGATGCGATATGCGATACGATACGCGATGCGATATGAAATGCGCGCTGTGCACATTAGAGCGATGCGACATGCGATGCGACATTTTGTGATAGCTACACAAACTTTTTTGCCCTTATAAGCTTGTTAATGAGTTAAATAAGTTGCTTCTCAACCGAGTTTAGACCTTTCGAATGATGGGTCTATGTTTATATCTATAAACATTTCAAAAATTTAAGAGAAATGTATGTTTAATATAGAGTAAAATTGATGTTTATTTTTACAAAGTCGGCTAAAAATTAAATGAGATATTCCAATTTTCATGACAAATTATTTCAGAATATTGCTTTCACTACAAGGAGAAATCGGTGAAAGCTGAATTAAAAAAAAAAAGGTTAGGCAAAGATTTTTGAGTTGTATAGCCAAAAATATTCTTTTTCTTATGAAAGGTTGAATAACTTTCCTCCGATTTTTTAAAGTAAAAATAACTATATATTAAATGTTAATTTTGCATCAGTTTAGGAGTAGTATATGCGGGTTTTCAAATCATTATTTCGCAGTAGCGATTTTGCTTTTTTGAGAGTTTCTATTACTTTTTTTCAATGTGTAAGAGACAATGCTTTTGATAAATAATTTCTCTTTGTATTCTTACATAGGTCAGGTATTTATTGTGATATTTTTATTTTGTTTGTTAAAATAGATAAAATTTTATTTATTCCATTAATGTTCAGTTTAACATGGAATAATAAGTGCCGAAGTGAAGAAATAAATAGTTTTTTTGGCTTAATAATGCCTCACAGGATTTTTTTATGCGGTTTTTTAGAATTCTTTATCCCATGTTTTTGTGTGAAAGTAAAGAACTTTTTTATGCGGATTTTTTTATGCGGCTTTCTGAGGAACGCATGTACCACATAAAAAGGGACCTAGGTGTAGTTGCTTTATAAAAAAGTGCGTGAAAATTTTGCGAAATTTGAAAAAAGACGAAAAAAATGAACATAGAAAATACACACAGATCTCTTAAGTTTTCTAAAAGTTTATATACATATATCATTCGAAAAGTCTAAACTCGGTATATAGTCAACTGAGTTACAAGCTTATAAGTGCGGAAAACCGCACTCTCGATTCTTACTTCACTCGGCAAAACCTACCTGAAATATAACATGACTTACCAGGTATTTTTACTTCATTATTTTTTTAGGTTATAGAGCACACAAATTTGTACTTTCTCTATTTAATTTAAAAACTGATTAAATATAATAAAATAACACTCAAGAGAAAAAACATATAAAAATATAACGAATAATCAAAAATAATTACCTACATGCATACTTCATTATTAATTATTTCTTAATTGTTTCTAAGTACTTTTATTACTATTTATTTGAATATTTGAAACAAAATAGTTAATCATTAACATTTAAACAAACACTAAATCTTTTTTGCTATTCAAAATCAAAAATAAATAGGTTTAAAATTATTGGATTCTATAAATTTATTTTTAAAGATATGAAAACAAAGGCAAATAAACCATCACGACAAAAATATTATTTTGTGCATTTACCTGTGTCCTTGACCTCAGACGCTATATTTCTCAATGCCAAACTAGTCATGTCTGTTCTACAGTAGTTTTTTTTGGCATAGTTCCATAAACATCTTTTTTTATTATTTCGACTAAAAAAATTGAGGAGATGATGCCGCCTGTGAGACGATCACTCTTATTGCAAAAAATGCCGCGCAATACTAATCTCACCTCGTTCAGAAAACCGTGTCGCACGTGCGATACGCATGCAATATTATATGGTAGCGGTGTCACACGTGCGATACGCATGCGATATTATATCGCATCGGTATCGCTGTCGTGCAAGTGTGCACAGTTTTCATCGCTTCCTACCAATTACCACGTACTCAGCATGTCGATGTCGCATCCATATCGTATCGCATATCGTATCGCACTAATGTGCACCGTGCCTAAGTGTATTTGTTTCAATTATTATACCAAATTAAGCATATTACCGATTTATACCAGTTTTTCTTAATTATTTGTTTCTGGGAAACGCGCAACTACCTACGAAGGAAAGGAGAAACCAAATATACAACGGGTTTGGAAATCTTAAAGAGAACGCGTATGGTTGCCATGGCATAATATTAAGTAAACTTAATTAAGTTAAAGATAACATTTATTTTTTTTTCTTAATTTAACCCTTTCCGGTCAAATCCGTCCCTAATGAATATAAAAAATTTTCCTCTTATTTACAGGGTTCATAGAGCCTCATAATACCAAAAGTAAAAAAAAAATATTCAAAAGTTGTTTGGGTAGCTATTAGGGCTACCTCAAATTTGTGCAATATATTGTACAAAAGTCCGCAAAGTAGTAAAAGCACTCAAGAAAGCTCAATAAATATTTCACCAGGTTTGACGGAATAAAACTTTTATTTCATTGAAAATGAACGTATGTGTGTACAAAATAATTGATTTTACTGCAGATATGTTGGAATGAATATTTTGTATCTTTTTATGTATCTTTAGTTATGACTTGCATTAAAAATTTTAAATCTTCTCCATGAGAAGAGAATTTTATAAAGAAATTTTGAAAATTTTCAGATACAATTACAATATAAAACACATATGACCCGTTTTAATAAACCTTCCCGGTTTTTCTGCCTTAGGTAGATCAAGAAATCAAAAACCTACCCTTTACTGCAACAACAGCACACAAGCTCTTCAAAAACCACGGCAAAAACCACCCTAATTGCCTGTTGAACTGCAACCTTTGCGGACGTTTGTACAATATATTGCACAAGACACTTACAACCTTTCAATGTAAATGTACAATATATTGTACATTATTTTTACCACTCGTGAAAAATATTTTAAATCATGATAGTTTAATTTTAGCATTTTTATATGATGAAATTCTTTTTATATTTCCATACTATGTGCATTTAATAGCGATTTTACTTGACTTTTACGTATTTTTTGTACAGTAAATTACCACAACCTGCGTGTCACTGGAATTTTATAAAATAGTCTATTTTTAAATTAAATTCTAAAAATATTTTTGAAACGTTTTCGTTTACGTAAACTATTCGGGACATTCCAAAAGTTCATAAAGTTTAATTTGTTTTCAAAAATATTAATAAGATTTTTAGTAGCACGCTTCCAATGTTACAT